TTCCAAGCGATCGTCCATTCATGTATGCACCCCCTCAATACTTGGTCTATCGACGGGAAAACACATGTACTTCTCTTCATCGAATTCTAAATCCTATGAGGATGAAGTACATGTCGCAACATCTTGAGATAGTTCCTCACTAGAGGGCTATCAAAGACAAGATGGAAGTCCTCCCTTGCCTCCCTCTCCCCAAGGCATCGATGGAGGCGCCTCAGGAACAGAGGCTCAAACTACAACATCCGTTATTATAGGGGTTACCCCCAATGCTGAGTTAGTCACAAAGGCCGAGTTCCAGGCCTTTGCTGACTCTATTCAACGGTTCTTGGATGACCTTAAACTCAACATAGCGAGGATTGTTGAATCCACCCCAACCCATGACCTAACAACCATGACCTAACATCCATTCAGCAATCTAACGCATCCTGAGTGACTCAATCGAGGGATAATACCACAAGAATCTAGTCTTTCCACCGTCTGGTGGTCCAGCAACATAACTGTCACCATAACATGATGGTCACCAGACATGACTCCATAGATGCATCCCTTGCTGCCCTTTCAGCCCAAATAACCGCCACCGATGAATCCATCGCCACCCTTTCCACCTAAGTTACAACCTTCGCCAATTCCATCGCCTCTCTACCCACCACCATACTATCCAGTATACTAGAAATAGCCCCCCCTCTACAACACCCACCCTAAATGAAGCCTTTACCTCATTTAGCAGAGGTATGAACCCTCAAATCCTCCATCACTATCCGACCGTCTACCTCCCCCTCTACCCTCAAGATGAGGTCACTCGCGTCGACCTACGCTCTCTCACCAAAGCATTGGTCTCGAACTTCAACGAGATCAGTGCCAAGTTTGTATCTAGAGCCACCGAGCCAACAAATTCCCTAAAGAGGAGTCTTGCTCAACAGCAAGAGCGAACCAACTCTCTCCTCCAATTGACGAAAAAAGCTCGCAGTAGAGAAATGGTCAAGCGATATGTTGAATCACTACGGCTAAAGAAGAAGAGGAGTCATGCCTCATGATCCACAAGTCGGCCTCTCAAAAGGCTAATACGTGATGACCTAGACCAAGATGACCATGGTCTCGGTCCTCATGAGGGGGAGAATCCATCTATCGCCCCAATGGAAACAACAACACCACCACCTCCACCAGTTTAAGAGCCAACTCCACAACCAACAACTGGAACAGAGGCGAGGGAAACAGAGGCTCAGCCCTCTGATAATGTACATAATGTACATAATTTACAGGTCCCCTCTGTCATTTTGTTGCTTCCTCATCTCATCCAACCATAGGCGCTGCCAACCCATCACCACCTGCCGATAAGTCCTCACCAATTTTGGTGAATTCTTCATCACCTTCCGATCAACCACCCTCCACCTCACAAGTACCACCCATTCCCTTTACCCCATCACCAACACCACCTCCATCACCAAAGCAACCAGAACCTACTCCTATACAACCAGAACCCACACCCATACAACTAGAACCCACAAATCCTAAACCAAAAACAACACCATCCCAAACAGAACCACCAATGAGCCAACCAGAACCACCCAATAGCCAACCTAACCAAACAGTGCTTGTAGATATTCCCTTCTCGTCTAGGCAGCCTCCATCTGTTGATCGAGTGCAGGAAGTCATAGCACAGATGGAGACCCTAAGGAGACGTCCAGAGGTGCCGCCAAGAGAACCTGTCATGATGGAGAACATCCATCAATATCTCTACCATGATCGCTATGAGCACATAGTTCTCAATCCTACCAACCTATCACCAGAATCCATGGACTCGCTCCGGCACATATTCATGAGACAAACGACACAACTGCCACAAACCGTCTTCCCAAATGATGGAATCAAAACAGTCCACGATATCAAGATGCAGACATTCATGAATAGAGCCATCAAGTACATCAAGTACACTGTGGAACGTGCCCATGGGATGATCTGTGTCTTCAATGACATTGATCTCATCAATCTCAATCCATGGGACTTGATGGACTTATATGGCCACACAACTCAGCGTCAGGATCATGGGATACGGTACGAGATGGCACAGTGAGCGATCGTAGAGGCGATGGGGACTCTTGTAAAGTTCAGAGCAAGGAATGATTTCCAAATAGCTCTAGAACATGGCATCGACAGACTATCCTGCACAGCTCCAAATGAAGACTTTTTTGGATTGCAGGAGACACGCTCTGCTTCAGTATTAACTCAACCAGAACATGGCTTGGTCTTCAAAAATGAATACAAGGCAAAGAAATTCTTCAGACTGACTGAGGCCTTCATGTATTCGACAGATACACTTGAATGGTTTCAGAAGGTTATACGAGAGAGATTGGGCAGAGAGCATGCGCCAAGGAAAGAGGGACATGAGTTGATTCATGGGATCTTCGTAGTCATCCGTTACAGAGGATTAATGATGCGCTTCTAGAGAATATACAATGGAGACCATGATTGAGATGTAAAATTTTATTTATCCTTATTTACTTCTGTATTGTACGAAACAATCCAGTTTTTAGAAAATGAAATTTTTTGGTAAAAGGATGTTTTTACTATCTTAGTCTTTGTTCATTACAATTCATTTATGTTTCATAGATTAGCTATTGTTTACTTTTCATTACTTAGGAGGAGATTGTTAGACCCAATAATTCTTATTGTAAAAGTAATGAATAGGGGGAGATTGTTAGACCCAATAATTCTTATTGGAAGTCCAGAGGATCGATGGAAGAAGAGCTAGAAAAGACCTAAGTGCTCAAGGCAAACCAGAGATGTGATGAATGGTCCATAAGTGCGATGAACAATGCATATCCATCACCCCTCTGGTTATTATCACTTAGCAGATTCAACAAGAGTTCAATTAGAGATATCCAAGTAAAGTACAAATGTAAAGTTTCCTGGTTGAACATACTACCTAGAAGACCGCTAGAGATGACTCATCGACAGCTGGAATTCGATTACGCAAGGTAGTTAGAGATAACTCCTAAATTCTAGATAGATATCTTTTCCTAGAATATCTCATAGATATTTTTTCACTAGATTGTTATCTCTTAGAATAGATTGCTAGTATAAATAGCTATCATATGCCTTGTAAATTATTCATTCCTTCTCGTTACAGTTATTATAGTGAAATAATTTGAAGCTTCATATTCTTCTGAATATTTTATAAGTTGTTCTTTACTATTCTTCATTCATACGATAGATTTAGGTTCTATAACATAAATATTTGTGTTATATTGAGAGATCTAGGATCAACAGTTGGATTTACATCCTCAAATGCGGCAGTTTCTGATCTCCCGAATTGGTGATGGAAGGGATTCTAACGCTTGGGAAGATAATTGGCTCTCTTGTAGATATCTATCCTCTTTCATTTCCTACAAATTCATTCATTCAAGTGGATTCTCGACTAATACTATGGTTCGAGAGCTTATTCAAAGTTTGGATGGAATGTGGCCGACTTTTTGGTGTCTCAGGTACGCTGTGCTAGTTAATTCTCCATTGTCGTCCTTGCATGATTTAGTTCGGGATAGAGTGTTATGGGGTAATAATCAATATTCTAGTATGGAGTTCACGGTTAGAACAGCTTGGTCTTCACCGGATGGGAGATACCCACTTGTGCCTTGATATAGTTCAGTTTGGTTTCCGGGCCATATCCCTAAGCATGCTTTCTGTCTATGGCTTGCATGTCATCACCGTCTTCCTACTCAGGATTGTATGATATGGAAACATGAACCTTCTGTAAAAATTGCACAAATAGCTATATCCATATCCTTTTTTCAATATAATTTTTCAAAAGAGGTCTGAGAAAGCATTTTACAAGAAGTGGATTGGATGAGTATGCCAGATTCTTGGGACCATATCATGGAGGTTATATCGGATACGAGGAGATCGCCTGAACGGTTAATGCAGAAACTTGTGCATATAGCCTCGGTTTACTATATATGGCAGAATAAAAGACTTTTTAGTGAGAATCAACGAACGGCTGTGCAACTTGTTAAGGAAATTAAGAACAAAATTTCTATTTGTGCGGCTTGGAAGGAGAGCAGGGCTGAAAGGATTGGTGTTATAAATGAGGGGTGACCTTTTGCTTGGAGGGCTTAGGAGGGTGGTTGACAGGGCTTTTCTCAGGCTTAAGCTACGTTTGCTCCTATTTTGTAGTTTGTTTTTGCCTGTTGGGCTTTGTACTTTTTGGCTCTCTGTGCCTTGGTCGGTGTGGTGACCAAGTCCTTTGCTTTTCTGTTTGGTTGGTTGTGGCTGTCTGCCTAAACTTTTGTATTTTCACTATGGTTTTTGTAAATTTGCCTGAATTTCCTTAAAAAAAACAAAGCACCAATACTATTTATACAAGGAAAAAAACAAAGAAAGTACAAAGAGGAATACAAGTTTAAATACAACAATTAAGCACAAAACTTTAAACCCTAAAAAACGAAAACAAAAAACATTTAATTTGTTTAATTAAAAAAAAAACAAAAAAAAACCATTATATAAAATTTCCTTCCCAAATTAATAACAATTTGATAAATTCCTTAATTACGGATATGGAACATGATGAGAAACTTGCCTTTAACAATAAGAAAAAAAAATATGATTGATTGAATTCAATTTGTACGAATAGGGTGTTTTGGATAGGGTCGCTCCTATAAATAGTGATTATATTATGCGTTAAATCAAGAAACATATTTTCGAGATATAACAAACTATTTGTTAAAAATTTGTTCAAAAATGTTTACTATTTGTTATATTATAATTTTCTAAAATTTCTTTCCCAAAATGTAAGGTTGCGAGTCAAAAATTTAGGAGATTTTCCTCATTAAAAACCCTATATTTTCTTCAACATAAATGGTGGTAAATCCACAAATTTAACGAACACATTAGAAACCCTAAAAACAGGCGAGGAGAGAGAGAAAGCAGGTAAAGATCCCGAGAGAAACGAAGAGAGGGAATGGAATTATGTTCATAGAACGCAACAGCGATGGAGACAAGGATTTAAGGCAATGGAGGATGCAAGGGATGGAGATTTGAGGGTACCTTTAATCTCCTCCCTCTTTTTCATTTTTGTACTCGCCGGCGGTATCTTCCTTACTTTCTACGTTTTTGCACCCAACTTTTCCCGACCATGGTTTCCAGTGATCGCATTAATTCTGATTGGATCACCATGGGTCTTTTGGTTGTTCACTTATTTGTACACGTGCTTCAAGGGTTGTTGTCGAAGAGGATTGTCTACCTCTTACGATCACCATGGCTCAAGACGGTGGGGTAATTTGCACCCAACGACCTCTCATCGTGGTGCTATCTCGAGCCCAAACCAGGCAGTGAATAAGGCAATGGCTAAAGATGGTTCCATGAAGGCATCATCTGGTGCAAATAATGTTGGTGCAAGGCATGTGCACTTTGGGGAGGTGGTGGTGGTGGAAAGTGATGGAAGCAAGATTACCCATGGGATGGATTCTTGGACGAATTCAAACAAGTCAGCGGAAACAACTCCGGCGGATGGATCTAGATCATCTTGACATGTAAATAAATTTTATCGTTGATAGCCTCATTCTAATCATGCATATATCGGTGTAGAATTATTTAATAGAAATTTCTTTGACATGCAAACACCATTCAAGAAAGATCCACATTTAGCACGAGAATTGTAGCTTCACAATTCATAAAGCCGAACACATCCAAAATGTATTGTATGTTGGAATTGAAACGATAAAGCCTCATGTTTGCATGTTGGGATTTTTCCATAGCCGATAGACAATGCTCCTAAAACACTCAAATGTGCATGAACAACCCAACAATGGAAATGTGGAAACAAAACAGGTCACAATATACAGGGTGTTATGATCAAATATACAATATCAATTACAACAATATAAAAAAACAATCATATAATGTTGTTTCATTCATGATTTTACAACCTTAAAATCATGTATTAACTCAAAAATTAAAGGTTACAGCGAAATGGTTACTCGAATTAAGCAACTAAACTTATTTACTCCGAATTTGTAAAGGTGATAAATTGTCGTCAATAATGGTCTGTCACTGATTTGTTAGTGACCAAATATGAAAATAGCCACTAATTAGTGACAAAACTAGAGTGATCACTATATTTATGATGACAAACATTAATATACCGGTGAAAGTCATCACTAAACTTATTATATTATTAATGACCAAAGTTAATGACCACTAAATAGGTCACTAATTGGATTACTGATAACATCACTCTTAAGTAACGTTAATCTTCATTAGAGACCAAATATATCGCCCGAACCATTAGTGGTTGTTAGTGAACACCAAAAACGTAATCACTTGCAATTCGAATAACTAAAAATATATTTAAAAAAATCTCTATTTGTTATTGAAATAACAATCTATAACACATTTAATATAGAAAATAAACCATCACACATTTATTTGTGAGATTGCTATGCATATAACCATGATAGTGTTTCATCATGAAGTCCATCTTGTCTACTTAACTAATGATGCTTTGGAACAGCATGCTTGGTATTTGAATTATGAGGTTGTTCAACATGACGACTTCTACTTGACGTTTTGACACCAAACCTTTTTAATATCCTTTTTCCAGAGCCATCCACCTAAATAAAATATCTTCAAATTTAAACTAAATGCGCCTATTATGTCAACATGATGGCAAATATATTTCCTCATATTATCAAAACTAGGAAAATATTTTAAATGAGTTTCTTTAGTTAAACTCATGACCTCCTGGACCTGTGAATGAAGAAAGGGCTTCGTATTCATGAAAAGGTTATAGATTTAATTAGAATCTTATTTAAAGTTATATACTTATAAATTCCCGATTTTAGATGTACCATGAAAATTGAGAATTCACCTATGTCAAATTGTAGAATACGAAAATAGGCAAAATAGAGTGAACTATGTACCTAGGTCACAAATAAATATATACAAACCAAAAGCCAATAGTACAATGATGATTCATTCATCCATAAGACTTCAATTTAATAATTTATGTATTCGACATAACAAATCAATCAATCAATATATATAGTAAAGGAAGAACCAAAATCTTGTTCAATGAAAACAATTTTATCCTATTTATTTTTTTCTTTTTTCTTTTTTTGATTTATTTTTAATATACTCTCAATACATTAATTGTTAACCCTTTCATTTTCCTACTTTTTTAACTCCATTTTCATTATTTTATAAAG